AGGCTGAGGCTGAGGCTGAGGCAGGCTGAGGCTGAGGCAGGCTGAGGCTGAGGCTGAGGCTGAGGCTGAAGGCAGACTGAGGCTGAGGCTGAAGCAGGCTGAGGTTGAGGCTGAGGCAGGCTGAGGCAGGCTGAGGCTGAGAGTGAGGCAGGCTGATACTCAGGCAGGCTGAGGCTGAGGCTGTGATTGCGAATGCCGTTGCCACTGCGACTGTCATCGCGAATGCGACTGCGATTGTGAGAACAGCATAATTCTACAACTGGATTCTGATCTGAATCTTAAGGAGAATGCTTCCAGATTTGCTTCTACACATCGCTGTTAGGTTGCTTTGCCGGGATAATTTTTTTTGACGCCACCTGGGACTTCGGCACAGCGCGCTGGCCGACAGGAAAGCCGCCGAAAATGAATCTCTCGTGGGTCGAATCGCCGCCAAGACGGCCCACATGGCTCACGATGGCCTCCGAGATGCTTCCAAGATGCCTCCATGACGGCCAAGATGGCCCCAAGAGGGCCCAACAGATGGCCCAACAGATGTTCCAAGACGGCCCAAGATGCACCCAAGACGGCCCAAGACGACACGAGAGGCCCCCAAGAGGCCTCCAAGATGGCCCAAGGGCCTCCAAAGGGCCTCCAAAAAGGCCAAACGTATTGATTTCCCACTGGTGTCGGAGGATGTTCGCATTGGCTTCAAAACGGCCTCCCGACGACCCAAGACGGGCCAAGAGGATCCTAGGATTGCCCCAACATCGCCAAAAAGGTCTCCAAGATGGCCTTGGGACGGTCCAAGAGGCACCCAAGACGGGCCCCAAAGGGCCCAGGGACGGCCCAAGAGGCCTCCAAGACGCCCAGGATGGCCGTCAGGACGGGCTCTGAAGCGCCCCGAGAGGGCCCCAAGACGGCCCAGAGAGGCTCCCAAGACGGCATCCGAGGGCACCAGACGGGCCAGGAACGCCGAAAGACTGCCAAAGAGGCCCCCTAAGAAGCCCTCCAAGGCGGCAAAAGGGCCCAAGGAGGCCCCCAAGACGCCTCCAAGAGGCCCCCAGGACACGTTCGCAAGGCAGGAGGCCCCCCAGGAATGACCCAAGAAGCTCCCAAGAGGTCTCCTCACCCTGCTTCTCAGTTGTTTCCTCGCTCTCTCCTCGTCCTCCTCTTACTCCCGCACGTGTTCCCCGCAGGGCTTCCACAGCGGCTGGGGGGAGCACCTGGTCCAATAGCGTCGCCAAGCTTTGCTCCAAACGTTTGGCCACATAGGCGTATCATACAAGGCAAGGGGGCGGCGACGATTCGCCGTAGGCGTCTTCGATGTGTATACGTAATATAAAAATGAATGAATGAATAAATAGATATACAAATAAATATGTACATATATATATATATACATATACATATACACGTATATGTGTGTGTCGCCGTCCCTGTCTCTGACACACTAAGAACTAGAACTAGTATCAGTATGTAAGTGCCTCTCTCTCTCTCTCTCTTTCTCCCGCTCTGTGTTTGTGGTACCTCCCTCTCTCTCTCGCACACTCATACCTCGCCCACGCCCCCCCCCACGGCCCGCCATCTCATCGTTCCCTCTCCTAGCTCGCCAGCGAGATACCGACCGAACACGGTGCGATTCAGTCTGCTCCCCTCCGTCCGCTCCCTCCCTTCCCGCGTGCCCCCGCTTCTCCTGCCGCCTATCGCCTGGGTGGGGCAGGCGGCTGCCTGCACCTTGTCCCCGCCGTGGCCGCCTGCGGACCGTCGCCGTCGAAACCGCCGTCAGCGTCGCCGCCGCCCACGCAGCCGCCGCCGCTGCCGCCCCGCTGGCCCAGCCGGGGGCCCGCTCAGAAAGAGGCTGACGGCCCCGCCTCCGAGCCAGCCCGCGCGGACGGGAGGGAAAGAGGGAGGGAGCAAGGAGGAAGGAGGAAGGAGGGAGGAGGAGGAGGAGGAGGAGGAGGAGGAGGAGGAGGAGGAGATGGAGGAGGGTCAGAGGAAGAGAAGGATGGCAGGAGGAGAAGGGAGGAGGAAAGAGGATGAGAAGGGAAAGTGAAGAGGAGGAGGAGGAGGAAGAGTTTGGAGAAGAAGAAGGAAAAGAAGGAGGTAGGAGCTAGGAGGAGGAGTAAGGAGGAGGAGGAGGAGTCAAGAGAAGCAGGAGGGGGAAGAGGAGGAGGAGTCATGAGGTGGAGGAGGAGGTAGGAGGTAGGAGGAGGAGGAGGAGGAGGAGGAGGAGGAGGAGGAGTCAGGTGGAGGAGGAGTCAGGAGGAAGAGGAGTCAGGAGGAGGAGGAGTCAGGAGGAGGAGGAGTCAGGAGGAGGAGGAGGTAGGAGGTAGGAGGAGGAAGAGTCAGGAGGAAGAGGAGTCAGGAGGAGGAGGAGGAGGAGCAGCAGCAGGAGGAGCAGCAGCCAGGATCTGGTGCTTGGGGCGTTTTGTGTGCCGCCTGGGACAGCTCGACTGGCCGAGGTGTACGGGAGCGAGCGATCGAGCGCCGACGCGGTTCCGCGCGCGGGAACACCTCATCGGGAGGTCGGCGGCTGGGCCGGAGCCCCTCACGTGTAGGTCGGTCCACCGTCGTGCGACCCGTGCGGGCGTCGAGCTGCACGCCGGCACGGATCCAGACGGGTGTCTGGGAATTTCCGGGAGGGGGGCGAGGAGGAGTGGAAGGAGGGAGCAGGAGGGACAGGATCGAGGAGGATCCTCCCCCTCCTCCTCTCCCTCTCATCCTCCTTCTCCTTTCTAAGTTTAGGCAAACTTCAGGAGCACCGCCTGTAGCGTTCTTGCGCGAAGAAAGACACGAGCCGACTCAGGTCACCTTGGCGTCAAATTTCAATCGCAGGTCGGTGCGGAAAAAGGCCAAGCAATGAGGTCAAGAACAGAATAATGCCACCCAGGGCAAAGAGTAACCGACCGAGCGATCGAGCGGAGGAGGATTAACTAATTCCTCCTCCTCCTCCTCTTCCTCCTCCTCAACCCCAATCGATCCATACGTACTTTCTGGGAGGAGGGGGATGAAGAGCCCCGTACCCCGTCGTACCTCCGAGGGTGAGAGAGGCAGCTGCCCACGATGATGACCACGCCTCCACGATCCAATCTTCACCACAGCGTTCCCCCTCCCTCCCCCTCCCCCTTCCCCCCCTCCTCCTCCTCCCTTTCCCCCGCCTCCTCCACGATCCCCTCAGCGGAAGAAGAAAGGCATCTGCTAAGCTGATCCATCATCGGGGACGCATGTCCCACGGCGGATGGAAAGCTTGTACCCTCACGTCGGCACACGAAGGCAGTACTACTTTCCAGCCGCGCCGGGGCAGGCGTCCTCGAAGGCGGGAGGTGTATTTGCATACGGGTCCTCGCCCGCTCGCTTGGTGGGTGCGGCGTCCTGGCATGGGCCCAGATTGGGCCCGTGGGGTCTCGACGGTGTTGGTCAAAGTCCCTCTCTTGATGCCCTCGGATCCTGGTGCCGTGAAGCTACTATAGACGCCTACAATAACAAGTCGTGCTGTGAGAACTCAAGGAGCACGCTTGACGGTGAGATTTGAGCGAGCTTCCTGCAAGTGACCCAAGGCATATGCGGGCCCGCAGGGTCATCGCGAAAGAAGACAACGTCCATGGAGCACCTGCTGACAGGCCAGTCTCGTATGCGACGTGCCTGCCGCATCTCGTTAAGCATCCCTATCAGCAGGATGGTCACGCCCCAGTGGTAGATGAAGAAGAAGAAGCAACAGCAAAAGCAACAACAGCAAAACGAACACCAACAGAAACCACAACCACTACAACAACATCATCAACAACAACAACGACAACAACAATCATGTTCATACTGTTTGCTTTTATCTGCTCGAGCGTCATTCAACGTATAGGTTCCAAACCCTCGATACTAGCCCTCTTCGTCTTCGATCGTACCCCTGGGGGGGGTGTAATTCTTCGTTGCAGGCCGGGCCCCGGCAAGCGGCGGGGCGGCCGCGGACCGTCGGCTTGGTCAGCGGCAGCGCAGATCGGCGGCAACCCGACCCCAAGAGAGACGGAGAGGGGACCGACCCACGACGACGACGACGACGACGACGACGACGACGACGACGACAACGACGACGACGACGACGACGACAACGGCGACGACGGCGAACGACAACGAGCGAAAGCGAGAGCGAGAGCGGCAGCGGGGCCACGAAGGGCATGCGTATGGGCCACGAAGGGCGCGAACGAGCGGGGGCCACAAAGGGCAGATGATGCGGGGCCGCAGACGGCGATGGCGAGGCCACTGAAGGTAGCAACGGGGCCACGTAGGACAGCGAGGGCGCCGCAAAGGGCGGCAGCGGGGCCACGAAGGGCATGCATATGGGGCCACGAAGGGCGCGAACAAGCGGGGGTCACGAAGGGCCTACGCAGATTGAGCCGCAGAAGGCAGGGACGGGGCCACTGAGAGTAGCAACGGGGCCACGAAGGGCTGCAACGGGGCCACGAAGGGCGACAGCGGGGCCACGAAGCGCATGCATATGGGGCCACGACGGGCGCGAACGCGGGAAGGCCACGAAGGGCATAAATATATCGGGCCACGAAAGGCAGCGAAGGGGCCACGAAGTGCTGCAACGGGGCCACGAAGGACAGCGAGGGCGCCACAAAGGGCGGCAGCGGGGCTACAAAGGGCATGCATATGGGGCCACGAAGAGGTGCAACGGGGCCACGAAGGGCATGCATATTGGGCCACGAAGGGCTGCAACGGGCAGCGAGGGGGCCACGAAGGGCTGTAATGTGTCCACGAAAGGCAGCGAGGGGGGGGCCACGAAGGTCTGCAACGGGGCCGCAAAGGGCAGCGATATCCTGTTTCCGAAATAAATCGCGAGGGAGTCCTCAGCGAAAGCGCGACTCCTGGGTGACTGAGTGTCGGGAGCGCGGCGCTGGAGTAAATTGCAGGGAAATTCCAACGCAAGACCGCGATTCTTGTAAGCAGGTAAATTGCAAGCAGGTCTCGAGCGAGAGCGCGACTCCAGAGCGCCGAGAAGAAAGCGATTCCTGTATACATTGCAAGGAAGTCCCAGGCGAGAGCGCGACTCCGGAGTAAAACGCGAGGAAGTCTCAGGCGGGAGACCAGGTCTTGGCCAAATTGTCATGAATTCTCAAACGGAAGCCGTTGTTGCTGTAATCCGGGAGCCAACAATACAAGTTGAGCCTACTAGTTTTCCCTGCTAAGAAAGGTACGAGCCCTGTAAGAGACACTTCACTTGAAAAACAGAAGCGGTCACCGGAGGGGAGATCAACAATGCCTCGTCCTTAAGTAGTGGGAGTTCAACCACAACAACCGAGAAAAAAACAAAAAAAAAAAAAATGTCAATAACAACGACAATGACAACAACCACAACAACAGCAACAACAACAGCAACACCAACAACGACGACGACAACAACAACAACAACAAACCGCGTCAACGACGACAAGAACAACAATCAGTATAAGACTGTTCGTTCTTACTTGTCGGCATGTCATTCAAAACGAGTTCCCCACACACTCGATACCCGCCCTTTGTCTTCGATCACACCCCCTTGGAGGGATATATTTCTCTTTGCGGGGGGCGGCGGGCTTAGACAGGCGGGCAAACCTGAACGGGCGGACAATACTTCGTGGGCGTACATGTGCCCGCCATTGCAATTGGTGTGGGCCATGCACAAAAAGGAGGGGGAGAACGAGGGAGAGTGGGAGGAAGGGAGTGGGAGGGACGAAGGAAGAGGGACAACGCCAGGAGAGAAGGAGCGAAGAGGGGGGCGGTTGATTAGAGGCAGAGAGAGAGAGAGAGACAAAAAAAAGAGGTAGAGAAAGAGACAGAGAGAGGGGGGAGAGAGAGAGAGAGAGAGAAAAAAAAAAAAAAAAAAAAAATGAGGGAGGGAGGAGGCAGGAGGGGGGAGGGAGAAGGGAGAGGAGGGAGAGGGGATAGGGCAGAGAGGCATAAGGATGAGGGAACAGAAGAGGGAGAGAAAAGGGAGGAGAGGAGGGAGGAGAGAGGGAGAGGGAGGAGGAGCAGGAAGGTAAGAGCGTGAACGTTCGAGGAAGTCCTAGGCGAAAGCGCCGTTCCTGAAGGAATTCTCGGGCGGGAGTCCACGACGGGCGGGCGATCGCCTGACGGGTGGGTCGGGCGGGTGGGACATTCAAGAGGGATGCCTGAGTATGGCGAGAACGCGATTACTAAGTAAATTCTAACGTCGTCCTTGGCGCAGCGTGTTTCCTGAGCGTCGAAAGCGCGATGTCTGAATAAATTGCATGGAAGTCACAGGCGAGAGCGCAATTCCTGAATAACATGTGAAGGGTTCTCTGGCGGGAGCGGGGGTCTTGTTCAAATTGCGAGGAACTCTTGATTCAATTGCGAGGAAGTCTCAAGCGGGAGCGCCGTTCCTGAGTAAATTGGAGCGGGGGTCTTCTTGAAATTGCGAGGAACTCTTGATTCAATTGCGAGGAAGTCTCAAGCGGGAGCGCCGTTCCTGAGTAAATTGTGAGGAAGTCTCAGCAGGGAGCGGGGGTCCTGACTAAATTGCGAGGAGGTCACCGGTGGGAGCACCGGTCCTGATTAAATTGTGAGGAAGTCTCAGGAGCGGGGGTCCTGAGTAAACTTGGAGGAAATATTAAGCGGGAGCGGTTGTTGTTGTAATCCCGGGGGCCCGGGGCACAGTTTGAGCACCAAGACTTTCCCTGTCAAAAAACAGGGTGCGAGCGTCGAAGGGCACACTTTGAACTAGAAAAAATAATATGCACCGGTGAGGGGAGATCAACAATATTATTCCTCCCTCCCTCTCTCCCTCCCTCCTCCTCCCTCCCTCCCCTTCCCATCCTCCCTCATCGGCTTCCCAGGAGCGCCCAGCATCGAATCGAGAAATCGGATCGGCGATCGAAACTTACCGCATCGGCGGGCATCGGCATACGAGTCGGGAGAAGTCGAATCGGCAGAACTCGGCAGGCCAACCCGAAGGCGAACCGGATCCGAACCGGAGCCCACCGCAATCGAATCGGCTCGACTCGGGGACATCGTCATGAGCCCCGGACCCACCTCCCCCCGTTCCCACTCGTTCCTCCGGCCCTCGATCTGCGATCCTCGGCCCTCTGCGTCGGAGTCGGCCCCCGAGACCGCGACGGCCGCGGCCTCGCCCTCGCGGCGGCCCCCGGCCGCCCCCGAGGACCCGCGGCGCGCCTGCCCAGGCCTCGCCCCCGCCGGCGTCGCCGCCCTCGGGGTCCTCGTCGGCCCTGGGCGGCCGGGGAAGGAGGGGAGAAGCCTCCCCTCCTCCCTCCCAGCTTCCTCCCTCCCAGCTCCCTGCCTCCCCCCTTCGTGCTCCTGCCTGCCTCGGCCTCCAGAGTCCCTCCTCCCTCCGCGGCCTCCCTCCTCCAGCCTCCTCCTCCTCCTCCTCCCCCTCCCGTCCTGCCTCCCTCCCTCCCTCCCTCCCTCTTCCTCCTCCTCCTCCTTCTCATCCTCCTCTTCCTCATCCTCATCATTCGCCTCCTCCTTCCTGCTCGGCCTCCCTCTCATCCTCCCCATTCGCTCTCTCTTCGTCGTCCCTCTCATCCTCCTCCTCCTCCTCCTCCTCCTCCTTCTTCTTCTTATTCTTGGTAGTAGTACTAGTCTTCTGATTATTTGTTTTATTCATCGACGTCTTCTTACTATTATTCGTCGCCTCACTACTGTTATTATTTGTATGCTCAGTAGTGCGATTATTAATATCACTCCTCCTCCTCCTCCTCCTCCTCCCTCCTACTCCGCCTCCTCCTCCTCCTCCTCCTCCTCCTGCTCCTCCCGCCTCCGCCTCCTCCTTCCTCCTCCTCCTCCTCCTCCTCCTCTCCTCCTCCTCCTCCTCCTCCTCCTCCCATCCTCCTCCTCCCTCCTCCTCCTCCTCCTCCTCCTCCTCCTCCTCCTCCTCCTCCTCCTCCTGCGCCTCCTCCTCAAGCACATGGGGCCCAAGGCGCGTTGATCCCTTTTGACTCAAACGCGCCATGGGTGCTGCCTCGTCGCCTCCTTGCGACGTGCTTGGAGCTACCTGCAGCTCCAGAATTTCCGACGGGACGTGGGTCGGCTAAGGGCGAGGCGAAAGTTTCGGTGCCCGGGCGTCATCAGCTACCATGTTGGCATCTCCCATCTCCGCCTGGGGGGTATGTTGTATTTCTGGTGGTTGGAGCCCAATTGTTTTTCAAGTTTGTGGTGGGCTGTCAGTTCTGGTGCTTTTTGTTCATCAATGGAGCGCTCAAAGCACTGTCATGCTCACCGTCTTCTTCCTTGTTCGGCAGCCGTCGGGCGCGGCGTCTCACAGCAATCAGTGGATATGGCTTGGTCTGGCAGTCAGTGTTGTTTATCGAGGGACCTGCAATAATGGTGAAGTCACAATCCTGTCAGCGCTGCCAAGCTGCGTATCTCGGGCCTGAGTGTGCATTGGGTTTATCACAGTTTCGGTTGACATCGCAACACACACACACAGTATTGGTGGGATTATCAGTTTGTCAGTTCATCTATTTCGTATAGTTCGCGCTGTGGGGCTTCCTCATCTCGTCCGTCTTCTGAGCAGGGGAGAGGGCTGCTCTTCAAGATTTTGTCTTATGGTCATGCTCATGCTCCTCCGCCTCTTCCTCCTCCTCCTGCTCCGCCTCCTGCTCCGCCTCCGCCTCCGCCTCCGCCTCCGCCTCCTCCTCCTCCTCCTCCTCCTCCTCCTCCTCCTCCTCCCCCCTCCTCTCCTCCTCCCATTCCTCTCCTCCTCTCCTCCTCCCCCCCATCCTCCCCCCCCCTCCTCCTCCTTCCTCCTCCTCCTCCTCCTCATCCTCCGCCCTCCTCCTCCTCCTCCTCCTCCTCCCCCTCCTCCAGCTCCTCCTCCTCCTCCTCCTCCTCCACCCCCTCCTCCTCCTCCATAGTCCTTCTGCCTCCCTCCTCCTTCCTCATACCTTCTCCGCTTTCTCCCTCCTCAAGCCCTTTTCCTTATGAGTGACCTCCTGCCGTATCCCCAGACTTGTCAGTGGGGCGGACGGGCCGTTTTCTCTGAGACTTCCTCACCATGTGTGATAGTGGAGCTTGAATTCAGCAACAGCTGCACGGATGGAGAACATCGTTTTCGAATGAGAGCTCTCGCTTCAGCGAAGTGCATACTCGTCCTACAAGTGTTGAACGACTATACGAATGGAGGGGGTTCGTGTTCAAATTGGTGCTGTCGCTTTAGCGCCGCGCACGTTCGCATCAAACATGTGCATTAGCGACGGGGATGGAGAGGTCGTGCTTATCCCCTTCGCGCCGCGCGCAAATGTCTGAAAACCCTGCGACCGTTACAACGATGGAGGAGGTCGTTGCCAAAATGGAGCTCTCGCTTCCACTCCTCGCACATTCGTCTGAAAAGCTTGCCTGGGCTACAAGAGTTGAAGGGAGATTGCTTTCAACATGGGCTATCGCTGTCGCTTGAACCTTCGTAACGTACAACATTAGGGGCAACATGGCTGGATTGATGGAACTGCTGCATGGATGGAGGGCGGCTTCTTTTCAAAATGGGCCTCTCGCTTGAGAGTTCCTCGATGCCCATGGCCAAAGTGTCAACTTATGAAACAATTGCACAGATAGGTGCGGCCCGCTTTTGGGTTGGGCTGTATGGTCATACTTTGTCACATGCCTTCATGCTTGCCAGAAGAACGCAAAGCAACTCTTCAAAACGGAAGCCTCGCCTGAATGACATGCCCACTGAGTTTTCATCTTTCAAGGGGGCACTTCTGACAACGAAGAGGAAGGCCTGTCGGGACTCGTGAGGAGGGGACTTGGGGCGACCGGGTGTATTGCAGCATCGTTGATGCACTTTGGATTTACTCTGTTCCTCCTCCTACCCCTGCCTCTGGGGCATCCCTGGTCCCTCCTCCTCTTCCTCCCTTATCTTCCCCGTCCTCCCTCACTACCTCCATCCCTCCTCCTACTTCATCCTCCTCCTCAGTCCTCCTTCTCCACCAAAGCCGTCACGACGACGGCGGCGGCGGCGAAGGCGACGACGACGGGAGACGACGACGACGACGATGACGACGACGACGACAACGACGACGGCGACGGCGGCGAAGGCGGCAGCGGCGGCGGCGGCGGCGGCGACGTGCCCGCCCATTTGAGCAGGGACCGACCGTCCCGGCGTTCTCATTGGCCTACCACGAAGTGTTCTTAGAACCCGAAAACGTTCTAAGAACAAACCAACTGTTCTTAGAACAGAAACCCTGTGCGTTACAACAAGACAGCCCCAGCCAGAAACGTTCTAAGACCATTTCGAGGAAACCACAAAAGGTTAACATTCTTTGGTAGGCCCATAGGCACGCCAGGACGCTACGCCACTGCTTGACCCGTGCCCTCGGCGGGCCTCGCGTCGAGCCCGGTGAGGCCGGCGCCCAGCGCGAAGGCGGCGGGGATGGGCACGCCGCCTGCGCAGAGGCGGTCGCGGCGTCGAGGCGGGGCCGCCCGCGCCCAGAGCCAGGCGCGGTGGAGGCAGGGCCGCGAGAGGTCCTCGTCAAGAGCACGACCCCTCTCTGAGGGGGGGCGTGCACGACTCTCCTCCTCCTCCTCCTCCTCCTCCTCCTCCTCCTCCTCCTCCTCCTTCTCCTCCTCCTCCTCCTCCTCCTCCTCCTCCTGCCCCTCCCCCTCCTCGTGCCCCTCCTGCCCCATCGCCCTCCTCCTCCTCCTCCTCCTCCTCCTCCTCCTCCTCCTGCCGCGAGAGCGCCTCGTCAAGAGCACGACCCCTCTCTGAGGGGGGGCGTGCACGACTCACCCCAGTTTTTCGCGGGGAGCGGTTCTCTCTACCACACTCGCTGGTCAAGGCGACTCGGATCCGAGGTAGGTGGAGGCGAGGGCCACGCCTCGCCTCACGCTCACATCACACCCTGGAAGGGAGAAGGTTTGGCGAGCCCGAGGTGGCTGGAGAAGGGAGGGGAGCCAGAATGACTACAGAGTGTCACGATGAGGATCGATGAGACCGACGCCCAAAACCCCGCTAAGTCATTCATGTGCACGCACCCCCATGAGCATGAGCCCCTCTTGTCAAGAGCACGGGCCCCTCTTGACAAGAGCATGAGCACGAGCCCTTCCTGGAGGGCTGGCTCAGGGGGGGAAGCATTGAGCCTGAATCGGCGACACATCGCAGATGGATCGGCGATGTGTCCCCGATAACAGAACTGCGGTCGAAACCTGTCTGCTGCTTGCAGAGCGGGCATGCCGCCAGTGGCTCCAGCAAGGCGTGCGTCGTCCAAGAGGGGGGGCGCAAACCATGGCCCGCGGAACGTGCGCGGCCCATGCGGGGACCAGGGACGCAATGAAATAGAAGAGGCGCCACGAAATCTGGGGAGCTATCACGGCCCCCGCCGTGATATCCCCCCCCAGTCATCACCCCCCTCTTGACCGCCCCCAAAGTACTGGGCTGCACCCCAGGAAGAGACACCATCAGGTCGGGCGTGTCCCCTTCAGGGGGATGTTGGGCGAAAAAACGAACAAACAAAAATGACCAACATGCCCAAAAAATGCTACCCATACTATGTGCTGGCCATGTTTGATGACTTCTCCTGTAGAGGGGCACGCCCGACTCATAGATACCACTCCGGGACGAGGGTGGCATGCCTGCGGTCGAAGCATGGTTCCGAGAACGGCTTGTCGAGGGCACGAGCCCCTGAGCCGAGTGCCCAAGGCACGATTCGTGGGCATATGTTCTACCGCCACTACCATGTGTAGGACGAGGAGAAGGGAGGACGAGGTCCTCCTCCTCCTCCTCCTCCTCCTCCTCCTCCTCCTCCTCCTCCTCCTCCTCCTACCTGTGGCAGTGGTGGTGGAAAATGGGACCATCAACGATGGAGAGATGCCCAAAACGAAGAGCAGGCCGAGGGTGGGGTGGAGCAGGGACGGAGCGCATGCAGCAGGAGCTCGACAACAGAAAACCTTCCGCGGGAAACCCGACCCTGAGGTTAAGTCGGGCGTGTCCCCCTACAGGGGCATTGTCGACGAAAAATTAAAAATACTCCAAAAATACTCCAAAATTGTCAAACAAAATACTCAAAAATAAACCCCGTATTATATTAAGTTTTAATATTCCCCCTGTAGAGGGACAGGCCCGACTTAACCCTGAGGCCCAAGACCTCCGTTGAGTTCTGGTGTGGGAGCGTCACACTTTCCATAGCAGAACCATCGAAAAGCACGAAGCCCAGGGCACCCTGGAAGCAAGCAGGGTGGTTTTTGGCATGGGCTTCCACTGTGTGGGTATCCTTCCGAGGCTGTGCTTGTTCTTGGCCCGCGTGCCTGCGGCGCCGCAGGCTCGCTTCGTGGCGACCTGCGCGCCGGCTTGTTGGCACCGCGTGGGTCAATCCCCCCGGAGCCGTCGCGGCTCTCGAAGAGCAACAAAGCTGCAGAAGCAGAACCTTTGAAAGGTCCGTGCGGACCTCGGATGTGCGAGCGTGCACGCGGGCTTTTGAAGAGAAACAAAACTGCACAAACGGAAACGTTTGGAGGTCCGTGCGGACCTCAGATGTGCAAACGTGTATGCGGGAGGGAGGGACGGTGGGAGGAAGGCGAGAATGGAGATGGAGGGGGGCGGGGAGCGGGGTCATCGTTCCTCATCCTCCCCTCTCCTCTTCCTCCAACTCATCCCCTCTCGTCCTGCTCCCATCTCCTCTCCCTCCTCCTCCACTCTCCTCTTCCTTCAACTCCTCCCCCCCTGTCCTCCTCCTCCCATCTCTTCTCCATCCTCCTCCCCTCTCCTCTTCCTCCAACTCCTCCCCTCCCTTCTCCTCCTCCTCCCCTATCTCCCCTGCCCTCCTCCCTCCTTCTCCCCCCTCATCCTCCTCTTCCTCCAACTCCTCCTCGTCGGGTGCACGGGTGCACGCGTGAGTCCACGAGTGCACTCGAAGAACAGGAAACGGCGAACAGGTGCGAACGGAAAAGCTAGGACAGCGCCCAAGGAGGAGGAAAACAGAGAGGAAGAGGGACAAAACGGTGCGAACGGAAGAGCTAGCACAGCGCCTAGGGGAGAAGGAAAGCCGAGAGGAGGGAGGTCCCTAGGCGCCGTCGAAGCCTTGTTCAGCTGTGCCTCCTCAAGTCTCCAGCCGCATTCCTCCTCGTGCTTCTCTGCTTCCTTCCGCCTCCCTCCCGATCCCCCCATTTTCTGCCCCCCCGTTTCTCCCCCGCAACCCGCGCATCCTGAGCCTCCTCCAGAGGAGGGAGAGACAGACCACCACCCTACAACCCCTCAGCACACCCGCTAAGCAATATCAAACTGTCCTCTCAACATCACACCGTGTCCTTGCCCCTCCTCCTTTCCCTTCTACTCCTGTCCCCTTTCCCTTCTCTCAACATCACACCCTTTCCTTGCCCCTCCCCCGTGTCCCCCTCTTCCCATGCCAATAAGCACCCTGCTCGCCTCCAGGGTGCCCTGGGTTTCTTGGGTTTCGATGGTCTTGCCATGGAAAGCGCGTGACGCTCCCACACCAGAAAGCAAGGGACGTCCCAGGGTCTCAGGGTGGAGGGTTTCTTGTGGAAGGTTCCGTGTGGACTGGCCTCCACTGTATGTTTATTCAGGTGTTTCTCCTTCGAGCTCCTCCTCCTCCTCCTCCTCCTCCTCCTCCTCCTCCTCCTCATCATCACATCATCATCATCATCATCATCATCATCATCATCATCATCATCATCATCATCATCATCATCATCATCATCATCATCATCATCATCATCATCATCATCATCATCATCATCATCATCATCATCATCATCATCATCATCATCATCATCATCATCATCATCCATCATCATCATCATCATCATCATCATCATCATCATCATCATCATCATCATCATCATCATCATCATCATCATCATCATCACATCATCATCATCATCATCATCATCATCATCATCATCAGCATCAGCATCATCATCATCATCATCATCATCATCATCAGCAGCATCATCAGCATCATCATCATCATCATCATCAGTATCATCAGTATCATCATCATCATCATAATCATCATCATAATCATCATCATCATCATCATCAGCATCATCATCATCATCAGTATCAGCATCATCATCATCATCAGCAGCAGCAGCATCCTCCTCCTCCTCATTATCATCATCGTCATCGTCATCGTCATCGTCATCGTCATCGTCATCATCATCATCGTCATCATCATCATCATCATCATCATCATCATCATCATCATCATCATCCTTGTCCGCCTCCTCCGGAAACCACATTAGACTGTCAAATATCATTCGGCAATTTTAAACCATCCCAAAACACGAAAGGGCCACTGCCACAACATCGCCCCCAAGAGGTCAACATCCTTCAAGAACCGACCTGCCGGAAGCCGTACCATAACAAGATGTCACGTCAACGAAAAGACCTGGCCGCCGCATGGTTGCATGGGCTGCAAAGGACCCTGCCATCAGATTTGGCCTGCCGCAATTGCGCGAGCGGACAGTGCACTTCAAAAAGGTCCCCCCGCCTTCCCATTCTTCCTCCTCCCTCATCCCTCATATCTCATCCCTCCTCCTTCGGGGTCCACCAAAGGAGGGGGGACCCTGACGGGGGGGATGAGTTCGATCCGCTGGTGCATCGAACTTCCAAAAAACGATGCCCCCCGCGCGCCCCGATTGTCGACACCTCTCGGGTTCCAGCGGCGGCCGGAAGCCTCCTTTTGCGTGGTTGTTCTGCGGTTCGATGCGCCAACGGACCGAACTCACCCCCCCCTGTGGCCCCCCCCCCCTTTGCGAGGTCCCGATCCCTCTTCGCTCACCCCTCCTCCTTCCTCTCGCCCCCCCTTCCCCTCCTTCCTCCGCCCCCTCCTCCTTCCTCTCGCCCCCCCCCTCCTTCCTCTCGCCCCCCCCCTCCTTCCTCTCGCCCCCCCTTCCCCCACTCCGCCCCGCCGGTCCTCATCCCCCCCTTCCCCCTCCTGCGGCGCGCGGGCGCGGCCTGCGGGCGGAGGGCCGGGCCCCGCGGCGGGCGGAGGGCCGGGCCCCGCGGGCAGGGACTGCAGCAGCGGATCCATGGGCGCCTCAAGGGGGGCGGAGGAGGAGGAGGAGGAGGAGGAGGAGGAGGAGAAAAGGAGGAGGAGGAGGAGGAGGAGGAGGAGGAGAAGGGGCAGGAGGAGGAGGAGGAGGAGGAGGAGACGGAGGAGGAGGAAGAAAAAGAAGAAGAATAAACGGAGTAATAATAAGAATAATGATCATAATGACAATAACGGTACTAATAGTAATGATACGAATAATAATAATGATAATAATAAAAACAACAATAATAGTAATAATAAAAATAATAATAATAATAATAATAATGATAATAATACTGCTAATAATAATAATACTAATAATAATAATAATGATAATAATAATAATAATAATACAAGAAGAAGAAGACTCGGCATTGCGCGTGGTCTCGTGTCGGGTCGAAAACGGAATCGGGCGGCGTGAAACCTCGGGAATCCTCGACCGTCTCAAGTCGCGGAATGCTTCGAGGTCGAAAACACTGCACACCGTGCAATACGAATCGGAGCGATTCGGCCGAAGCAACTATCTGCCAATCTCGCAGGCCGGGGGCGCCCCCCCTCGGGCTTCGCCGAAGCCGCGCCCAGTGACGCTGAATGCGTCGGGCGGGCCCCCCTCCAGGCCCTGGAAAACCATGAAACCCGGGGGGCCCAGGGCAAAAAATTTGGCCAGGGCGCCCCTGGAACGGGGGCGCCCCCCCCCCTCGCTCGGGACGGGGGAAGCCCACCACTCGTGGTGCCCCCACGTGGCCGCGAGAAAAAGGGGGGCCCTTCGGAAGAGCACGAGGTGACACGGAGGAGGGGGGGGCAAAGAGGAGGGCTGGCCAGCGGGGCCTACAGGAAGTCCTCGACGACAACGTCACTGGTCGGCCCATCCTCCAACCTCCAACCTCCAAGTCGGTTGGGCGGGACCTTTGCGCAGGGGCGAGGCCCTGCCTGCACGCCGCCCCCACCGCTATCACGAAGACCGAGGCCATCGGAGATACTCGACGATGAGTGCCCATGCAGAAGGGGAGGCCGCGAACCAAAGTGTCGAACTCTGAACGACTGCTGACGGCGTTGCGTCATGGAGTGCGTCGATGTGGTACAGTTTGCGGATGAGTGTGGGTCGAGTCCAGCGCAGGCGAAAGAGGTTTCTGGCCACCTGGCCCCGAGCACGATCCACGATAATTTATGTAGATGGCGCCCATCGTAGAGAAGACCCACGTCGGCGTCGAAAATGAAATATGCAGTGACGTTTTGAAAGAATAGCGAGTGCACCGTCCATTACTGCATCTGTTCCCGAGACCGACTTCGTTCACACAGAGCATCTTGTCTCCCATGGGATCAACTCTAGTGGCCTCCTCCCTTGCCCTTGGGCTTCGGCTTGTCCGATAGCTCTTGCGCCAAGGATTCTAGGTGCCCCTGAGGGGCTGCGCCCATCTTGAGCTTGCCGCCCAGGGCCTCATCGCGTGGACCGTCGATTGTTCCACCCCCACCTTCGAGACAACTTAGGGAAGTTCGGCCCCCGCTCCTCCTCGTCGGATCCCCGCGTCTTGCCGCGTGGGGTGATCTGGTCTGCGATCGAGAACTGCAACCTCGCGCACTGGTCGCTGTAGCATTTCTCCAAGCGGAAGTGCCCGATCATCAAGCTCAGCCCCCGCATCCCCGAACTGGAAATTAACTGCGCGAAAAATTCTTGAGCGGGGAGTGAGCGCCCACCGTCTTCGCCCGCACCTCCCCCGAATCGACGAGAGACTTGCACGCGGCTCGCGCGATGTACAGATGCAGCGGTCCCAGAAGTGGTCTCGCTGATGCGATTTGGGCAGCCTCGGCGCACATCTCGCCCGCTGATCGGCCCGCCTCCACGGGGGCTGCTGCCGACGGGAGGGTCACGCTGATCCACTCCGACGCCGCGAGGTCGAAGCTGCCGGGCGTGCTGGCAGGCCATCTTCAGCAGGATGTGGATCGCGTGCTAGAGGTCCCGAGCCCTGAGCGCGCCCTCGACCGCCTGGATGGCATCCTCTGCGTCGCCTGCCATCTGAGCCACGCCCGCCCTCGGCTCCTTGCCTGACGGAGCGCCGTCCGACACGCGGCCCTCCTCTCCATCGGGCTCGCGCCTTTTTCAGAAGCACGGAGAGGTCAATCTCTCGCTGCTGCGGGGCCGCGGCGGCCGACGCAGACGCTGCCATGCTTCTGCGTCCGAGGAGGTCGTGGCCGAGGGGGCTCAGGCTGCGCGCAGCGCGCGTTGGTGCGCAGCTGCAGTGCGAGAAGCATTTGAAAACAAAAACAGCATACAGTACACGCCAGGGGATCGGGAACTCGCACTGCGCGACGTTGATACGCGCCACTACCCCTCGCGCAACACCGCGCGGCAAAACTCCTCATCACGTGCCTCTACGCATTCTCCTTCGCGCTCAGAACCTGCAGACAGCGAAAACACCAATTCGCCACCGCGAGTAGAGCGGTCGCGCGTCGGACCCCACGCGCACTCGCCGCGCGCAGGAGCATTGCTTTCGGCGTAAAGGAGCGGGCTCCACGCGTCCGCCCCTCCCCGCCCCTCATCTTGCACTGGTGGACCTTCCTGCTATCTTCCTCCTCCAAGTCGCCCCCCTGTACCTCATCTCCTCGGGGTTCGGCGGCGTGGCCCGCAGGATCGCGAAATCGATAAGAAGGCCCAGCCCCTGCAGTCGCCCGAATAGAAAAGTTCCGGAAGCGGGAAATCGCCCGGCACCAGGTCCCCGAATTCCTCGGAGCCCTCGAAAGCGAAGCGGAGGTATTGAACAATCTACAATCTGACGGGCCCAGGGGTTCGCGTTCGGATGCAAGGTGTAGTCATCCTGTAAAGAGTCGCCATCGCCCCTGCCCCCGAGGACGCAAGCCCTGACCTGGCGGTGGTCCGATGGGGCGTCGGCACCAGTCCCGGCACCACTTCAGTCGGCGGGCGCGAAGCTCTTCCGGGATAGGGGGGGCACGCCAGCGCTGAAGCATCCGAGGGGCAGGCCATCGTCAAGACTCCCCATTGGAAACCAGCCCGAGGCCCAGTCGACCCGCTGCTCGGCGCATCGCTCGCTGCATGACACCGTCGGCGGCCCGTTGGACAGAGGAGTCCAGGACGCGGCCTTCCACGCCCAAAAGTAGAGCCCCCTGAACGAAGGACAGCATGGCCATTCGCCTTATCCCCCAGGAGGCTCCGTGGACCAGGAAACGCAAAATCCAGCCCAGGCCCGTCCGACCCGCCCGGAACCGCCGCGACTTCTCCACCGCAAGCGAGCCCGCAGTTGTCAGTCGGCCCCCCGATATACGCATATGACGGCCCACCGCCCCCTTGCACGGAATACGGCCCTCGTGTATGAGCTCGTTCTGGGCTGTGCTGCGTCTGCCGAAGACGCGGGCCAGTGGCGCTCGCCTGCCCGGGTCCAGCGGAGCCCCGATTTCCGAAGGGGCGATCGAGAGGCTCTCGCCGCTGGCGGCGGCCGCCGAGAGGAGGCACGCGGCATAGTCAGAGGGGGCCCCAACGACGCGGAGGGCCCCACGACGACCAACTTCGCGACGTCGTCGGCACATATAGTGACGCCCACGTCCGCGGCCCCCCCGTTAGCCCCCAAGACGTCCGAAAGTCCCTTGCAACAGGCGTTTGCCCGAGCGGCCTGGAACGTCTCAAAGCCCTGGCTGGACTTGGATGCCCCATCAATTCGCCCGCGGTCGGGCGAAGGCTGATCGGCACCTCGGAAGACTCCACCTGAAGGGCCCCATGGATGGCGCGCGCGCGCTGGAAGTGGGCGCCCCCTGGGTGTTAGAGGGAGCGGAGTCAATCAAATCGTGGGTGGCCTCTCTTTTTACACTGGCGAAGGCGTTCGTTGCGTCCTCGTTCAATCACATGGGCGAGCCCCTGTCTCTGCAATCTCCAAGAGCTGCAAGCCTGCGCTGCGGCGGCGCCCTTACGCCGACGACGCCTCGCGAAACCGCGGCAGTCGCACGGAAGACGCTCTCGAGATCTGGCCCCTCGGTGCCATAAATACGCGTTCCAACTCTTTCCGGCGGGGCAAAACATGTGGATCCATCGATGGCCCGCTGGGCCCAAGCGTCCGTTTCGTTTGTCCAGGCCCAGGCAGGACGAGACATCGAAGATGAGAGGGGCGGAGCGAGAGCGGCGGAAGCAGGCCGCGATGTTAAGGAAGCGCTCGTGGAAGCCCTGGCAGGTGGAGGGAAGCGCTGCGCCGCCGACCCCTCTTCGTCGGAACGTCTGCCATTGCTCGGGGCCCAGATAAGAAGAGGGGGAGGGAAAGAAGAAGAGGATACAAAAAACAACAAACAAACAAAAAAAAACAATAAAAAAAAAAAAAAAAAAAAAAAAAAAAAAAAAAAAAAAAAAAAAAAAAAAAAAAAAAAAAAAAAAAAAAAAAAAAAAAAAAAAAAAAACGGCCACGGCTCCGAGGGCGTGGACCACGACGGCGTAGCTCTGCGCTTCGGAGCCCGCCGAAGTTATTTGACGACGCCCTCCATGTCGTGCCCCGCCCCTGCTCCAGATCGCAGTTCTGCATGGCGTCGTATCTCACACGGTCGGCGCGGCCCCATTCGCCATCAAGATGCCCCCGGCCGAACCGCCCGAGGAGTTCGCCCCGCAGGTCGCGAGGGCGCGCAGCAAGGCCCCCGCCCCCAGCTGCTCGTTGTGAGTGTTGTGAGATAGCGCTCGGATCACAGTTCTCGCCCCGCACTGCGAAGCAGCGCCGCTGGCACGGGCCTCAACCCTTACGGGCGTGCCTCCTCGTCAGTCGTTGTACCAGGTAGTGGTCGCGCCGTGCCCAGGCCTGGTTGATCTGTTGCGTGAGCATCTCGTCGGTCTGGATCGTTCTTTCTCTCGACAGTCGTCGGATGCGGTAGGTCAGGCGTGATAGTTGTAGCTCCACTTCCAAGTAGTCAGGTGACTCTCTGTCGATGCGCAGGTTGCGTGGCCGTCGTTTGTGGGCCAGCGTCTCGCTGCGCTGACATTCCCAGGTGGTATTATCCAGCTGCTGGGTCGTCGGCTTGAGAAGGTGTTCCTTCGCTGCCGCTTCTAGGAGTGATGCACAAGAGTTCCACAATTCGCCACAAGTCGGTCGTGAGCAGAGCCTGAGCCACTCCGCCTCAGGGATGTCCAAGATAGGTCGGTGGATCGCCTCGAGCAGGGACGTGCATTCGCCGTCGTCGCGGAGCCTGGCCATGATCTGGCCATAGTGCCGCGTCTGCCGTGGTTGGGTCTGCGCCTCGAACGTAAACTCCAATTCTGCCATCAGCGGTCGGTGGCCCCTGTCATCCAAATCGCTGATCGGTTGCAGTCGTCGCCCCGCCGCCATAAGAGCCTTGCGGACCCGAACTCGGCTTCGCAAGGCCGAAGGCGCGTGGATGAAGTCGATGCGGCTGCTACGACCGCGGGCCCCGTAGTACGTAGGTCCCGCGCTGTGGAAGGTGTTGAGAGCCGAAATGTCCAAGTTCAGGGTCATATAGTGCCACGGCCTGCCCGCGAGTCCCTCCTCCTCCGCCGCTGTGGTGCCCACAGCACTGTCGCCGACGTCCATGCAGGAATGCTGGAAGTCGTGCTGCATCGCCCCGCCAGGTCGGGTTCTCGTGGGAGGCGATACGCCCAGTCTGTCGTGGAGGCCGACGCCAGCAAAAAGGGCGTGCCGCGGGTGCCCAACCGAGCCCACTACTTCCCGTGCCCACGCCACCAGGTCGTTGCATCGCGTTGCGCTGGTCCGCTCGGCCGGCCCCGCACGTCGGGTAGACAGGGGAATACAGCACCATACAGAGCGTGACTACCTACCAGACCACCCCAACCCAACCCGAAGACCCGAATTTGACCCGAATTTCGGGTTGGGGGGGGTACGGATACCATGTGTTTTTTCAACGTTCCCCGACCCCCCCCCCCCACTGGAAATCGAGGATAAATTTGGGCCTTCGGGTTAGGTTGGGGTGGTTTGGTGGGTGGTGAGAGCGTGTCTGGGTGGTCGGTCTTCAGACGGACGGCCCCGCACCTCCCCGCAGGGGAGGCCGGTGGTGAGGAGACCCGTCGCAGGCTCGATCGCGGCATCCTGCGACCGGGGAGGAAGACGCCGCAACCGCAGGATTTCGTCGATGCTCTCTCCCCTCCGAAAAGACTTCCCAATGGTGTGGGTGCATAAAGAGCTGATGTTCCCCGCCTGACTGTTTTCTGCAAGCTCCTGGGGTCCAAATCGCATGCACATTCCGAAATTAGTCTGGGATCTCTGTGCCTCTCGTCGTCCCTGTCAAGTACATCGGGTTGTACGTGCACAACCTCATGCTCAGCTTCGGACGACAGAAAGCCGCCTCCGTCGCTGGCATAGCTGAAGGCAACATCAGGACCGCCCACGGCAAGAAGCCGACGGTCCGCGGTGGCGGCCTCCCCTTTCTCATGGGCCTAGCGGGCCCCGCGAGAAGAGACAAAGCAGGACATGAAGCTGCTCCTCTGGCGAGTGTTCTGGGGGGGGTACCGTCGGCCGCGGCGGATGTGTCCTGTGGACCGTGGCGGCGGCTGGAGGAGGAGGAGGAGGAGGAGGAGAAGGAGGAGGGAGGGGGAGGGGAAGGAGGGGGAGGAGGAGGAGGAGGAGGAAGAGGAGGAGGAGGAGGAGAAGGAGGGGGAGGAGGAGGAGGGGGATCGGTGTAAACCCAAGACTCACCAACAATGTCACGCCTCAACCTCCCCCAAGGATTCATTCCGACTGGGGAAAGTGCCCCATTGTGAGACAACCGTTTGAAGATCCTGAAGCGTGCCAGAACACCATTTTCAGGACTCAAACGCCACGAATCAACCTGACGGTGTCGTGTTGACGATCCTGACTCGTGCCAGAACGCCGCTCCTGAAACTCCAACACCGCGAGTCACCGTAACTGTTGCGCCCTGACACTGAATCCTTCCAGCACATAAAATCCGACACGTTGACCATGGGAATCCGTGAACTCCTGCATCTGTGTAAACGAATGCGCGCGGCGCTAAAGCGAGAGTCACATGTTGAAAAAGAACCGCCCTCAATACGCGTAGCTTTTACGTTGTTCTACGCAAACAACAAACGAATGCACGCGGCAAACAAACCGCCCTGAATCCATGGAACTCTTACAACGTTCTAAGACGAAAGTGCGCAACGCTGAAGCGAGAACCACATTAGAAAACGGCCCGCCTTCCATCCGTGAGATTCGCGCAAATTCTTAAGACGAATGCGCGCGGTGCTAAGGCGAGAGCCACATGTTCAAAACCGTTCGCCCTCCTTGTGTGAACTTGCCGTCGCTTCTGAAAATTCAAAGTAGTAAGTAAAGAAGTCTCAGGTGAAACGCCCGGCCCGCCCTTCCGACTGGCCTCGAGGTTCGGCAGGGAGGAATTAGCCAGAAGGAAAAAGAATGGAGGAGGGGGAAGAGGAGGAGGACGAGGAGGAGGACGAGGAGGAGGACGAGGAGAGGGCAAGAAGGAGGAGGAGGAGGGGGAAGGAAAGGAAGAGGAGGAGAAGGAGGAGGAGGAGGACCAGTGTAAACCCAAGAGATACCAACGATGTTGGAATAAACCCTCCCCCCAAGCTCCCTTTATATGGGCCCCCATACAAGGGTTCATTTCCACTGAGGGAGCTGCCCCGTTCGAAGACAACCGTTCAATACCCTGTAGCATGCCAAAGCGGGATTCTCGGGATTCTAACGCCACGGATCAACCGGACTGTTGCGTGTTGACGATCCTGATTCGTGCCAGGACGCCAATCCCGGGTCTTCAACACCACGAATCAACGTAACTGTTGCGCCCTCATGATCCAAAATATTTCCAGAAAGCGAGTTCTGGCACGCTGAGCATGGAAATCCGTGAAACGCTTGGAAAGTTTAGAACAAATGTGCGCGGCGCTGAGGCAAGCGTCACATGTAGAAAAAGAACCGCCCTCAATCCGTAAGGCTCTTGCAATATTGTTTTAAGGATGTGCGCGGCGCCAAGACGAGAGCCACGTGTTGAAAACCACTCGCCTTCAATCAGTGAAACTCTTGCAAACGTTCCAGAAAAATGCGCGCAGCGCTAATGCGAAAACCACATGTTGAAAACCACTCACCCTCAATCCGTGAACCTCGTACAAAGTGTCAAAATGAATGCACGCGGCGCTAAGGCGAGAACCACTATTTGAAAACCACTTGCCCTCAATCCATGAAACTGTAGCAATGTGATAAGGCCCAAAAACTGCCAGTCCTAAAAACTGGCCTCGGGGGGCAGCAGGGAGAAGACACTTACAGGGAAAAGGAATGGAGGAGGAGAGAGGGAGGAGGAGGACGAGGAGGAGGAGGAGGAGGAGGAGTAGGAGGAGAAGCGGGGGGAGGAGGAGAGGGAGGAGGAGGAAGAGGAGGGAGAGGATGAGGAGGGAGGAGGAGGAAGAGGAGGAGGAGGAGGGGGAGGAGGAAGAGGAGGAGGAGGAGGCACGCCAACTCGAGCCCGAGCGCGCCGAGACAGGCACAAGAGGTAGAAGAGCGGATGGAAACGAAGAGCAACCGCAGCTCGACGAGCGAACGAAGAGATGAAACGCGGAGAGGCCGAGCAGCAGCAGCAGCAGCAGCAGCAGCAGCAGCAGCAGGGGAGGGCCGACGAGGAGACGAGGGGGGGTGACGACGAGGAGACGTAGGGATTTGGATTGCGCTCTGATTCGCCGAGGAGACGGTCAGCTTGGTGCGGCATTCACTAGCTGCTGACAGAAGCACGCGGTATCTAGCAGCACGGGCGCCAAGGTTTTGTGGGAGGAGGCGGGGCCCGCGGGGGCCGCGAGCCTGCACGTCCACCGAGGCCCCGATGATCTGGAGGTGCTCCTCGCCCGGCGGGAGCGAGCCGCGGCTCGGGGAAGGAGAAGGGCTTGCAGGGCCCCTCCCTCCACTGCACCAACCACAACGCGCCCCCCCCTCGCCTCGTCGTCTCCCCCCCCTCGCCTCCTCGTTGCTGCCGCTGCCGCCGCCGCCGCCGCCGCCGCCGCCGCTGCTGCTGCTGCTGCTGCTGCTGCTGCTGCTGCTGCTGCTGCTGCTGCTGCTGCTGCTCGGCCTCCCACTCCCACTCCCAATCCCCGCCCTCTCTCCTTCATACCTACTCAGTCCTCACTCCCTCCTCCTACGCCGCCATCGCACTACCCCTACCCTGCACTCATCCTCTCAGCCAGCCCCCCCTTCCTCTCCTTATTCATATTCGTACTAGTATTACTCGTATTCCTGGTCGTATGATTGGTCGTAATATTTAGTCTGCGTCGTATTCTGCGTATTCGTATTATTATGAATGTGTTCGTATCATTAGTATTCGTCTTCGCAGTATTCGTATTAGTATTGGTGTAATTACTCTCATGTTCAATATAATTACTCGTCTTCTTCGTGTTATTATTATTTTTATGGGTATGATTCATGTGATTATGCTCTGTCTTATTATGATTATTTGTTGTCCGCCTCCACCTCCGCCTCCGCCTCCGCCTCCGCCTCCTCCTCCTCCTCCTGCTCCTCCTCCTCCTCCTCCTTCTCCTCCCCTTCCTCCTCCTCCTCCTCCTCCTCCTCCTCCTCCTCCTCCTCCTCCTCCTCATCCGCCTCCTTCTCCTCCTCCCTGTAGGAAGCCGACAGCCTAGGAGAGCCAGAGCCCAGCCTGTCCGCCCTCCTGCCCCCTCCCTGTGTGCCGCTTTTGAACCCTCCATCAGCTAGACGACACAGGCAGGACATGTCTCAATTGTGAAGGTTTCGCGTCAGCTAGCACCCGCGTAGAATGGTACAAATCAGAGTGCTTTCGCCTCAAAAACGTAGATGGCACTTATATGAGAACCCCTCTGGGTAGGCAGGTTCATGCAGCAGGGGTGTAGATCCATCTAGCCAATCATCCGAGGTTCCAAGCTGGGCTGGGGATTTGGTTCTGCTCCAATTGCGGGAGCTTCGTCCCCCAGCAAATCGGGAAGCTCGCAGCAGTTTGTCTACCCCCCTCGGCCACTGGGCGCGAGCATGCACCACGTATCAATTCGGGTCTCTGGCCTAAGGTCCTCAGCAAAGCTGAGCAAGCCCAGAGAAGCAAGCACCTACAGTAGGTGCAGGAGGATTACATCATACCGCTACGCGATCAGGCAGAGACTCCAGAGACTCCCCCTCCTC